CGAGGCCTTGGCTCAAAGGATGATGCCCCAAACTGGCCGAGAAGGTGGTAACCATACAACTGCCGGATTGACTGGCAACGCGACGATTCCCTGGGCTATCACAAAGGGCGAGAAAAAGCTGTATGACGAGACGTTCCGCGCTTGGGACGGCATGGGCAAGGGTTACATTAGCGGAGCACAGGCTCTTGAGATCTTTGGACAGAGTGGACTTCCCAAGTCTGACTTGGAGCGCATTTGGACACTTGCTGACTCGGCTGATCGCGGTCGTCTTGATCTTGACCAGTTTGCTGTTGCTATGCACTTGATCTACCGCAAGCTCAATGGCTATCCTGTTCCTGCTCGTCTCCCTCCTGAATTGGTTCCACCTTCAACACGCAACATCAATGACTCTATTGGTGCCATGAAGAACTTGCTTCGTGGAGATGCTGAAGACAGGAAGAATTCTGGCGCTTTTCTTCAACCCCAACGCACTGGTGTCAGCTATCTCAAGACCCACTCATTCCGTGCTGGAAGCCCACAAGCAGGTGGCCGCAAAGACGCCACTGTTTTCCGTAACAACGATGACAACGTGGGTTACAAATCAAGTGCCCGACATCGTATTGGTGGCGGTGGTCGTTCGCCTTCTCCTGCTCAACCGGGATCTCCTGCTTCAGATCGTTCTGATGAAATGACTCTGGACCAGCTTAGAAAGGCCGTCAAGGAGAAGCAGATTCTCCTAGATGCAATGGATGCCCGAGATGAGAATGCTGCAGACGATGATGACGCCCTCGACCGCCGAGACCGCCGAGAGGCTGATGATCTTTATCGCCGCATTCGTAGGATTCAGGAAGACATTGACGCTCATCCAAAGGCATCTTTGAGATCTTCTGACTCGGATGCAGAGCGCCGCGCGCTCAAACGTCAGCTTCAGAACTTGACTGATCGCTTGCCTGAACTTGCGTCCAATGTGCGTAGAACAGAGCGTGAGATTGCGGATGCCCAACTCGAGCTTTTCAGACTCAAAGATGCCAAAGCGCACCCTGGATCTGCATCCGCAATTGTAGGCACTGGTCCAGGCGGCGCAGTGACTGAATCTGACCGATTGAAAGCTCGTGCTAAGGCCATGATGCAAGCTCGTTCTGCTGCCTTGACTGGAAAGCCTGCACCGGTTACCGATGATACTGGTGCCGCAGCAGAGCGCTTAGAGAAGGAGACCTCACGTATCAGAGCCGAGAGGGAGAACAACGAGCGCATGATTCGCGATGTTGAAGACAGCGTCAATGAGTACACTAGGGGACTCGAGTCAAGCCTCAAGGAAGGAGGACACGACACTACCAGCGAGCACGAACGGCGCAGGTGGGAGGAAGCCCTAGGTGTTGAAGACGAGGTCAAAGACTTTATCTTCGATCTTCAGCGAAGCAGCCGGGCAGCACGTGTCCGTAAGGAAGAGTGAGTATCTCAATGTTGATTCTAATACTACGGTTGCTAACCTATCATAGCTCATCAAGGGATAACTACAGGTCTCGTTCAGCGGATACTCGCCCAGCAACATCACGTTATGAGAGCCCTGCTGCTAGTGCTGATCCTATTCCTCGTCCGGCGACATCCGCCCCTCGTACTGGAGCTGCGTACAAGACACCAGAGGAACGAGCCGCCTTTATCAAACAACAGGCTGAACAGCGAATGGCTGAACGTCTGGCTGCCCTGGGTATCAAGGCTCCGGTCAAGGCTGGCGAAACACCTCAACAGCGCGCTGAACGTGAGAAGAGGGAGCGTGAAGAGAAGCTTCGCCAAGCTGAAGAGGAAGATGCACGCCGTGAAGAAGAGCGTCAAAGACGTCTCAATGATGAATCAGCCGCGCCACCAGTCCCAGTCAAGAGCAGTGGCAAGAAGCCAGCACCACCGCCGCCAGCTTCACGCAAGAACAAGAATGATGCCCCTCAGTATGACACACAGCAATCAGATGCTGAGTCGGCTCTCCGTGAGCAACAGGAGGCACAAGAAGCAGAGACAAGACGCATGGAGTATGTACACACTGACTTACGTTTTGAAACTTTTACTAACAAAGAATAGGGAAGAAGAGCGCAGACAAGAGAGCGAGCTGGCTAGTGAACGGGAAGCCGCTCAAGCCAGACTTCGTGCTCTTGAGCAACAGGTCCAGCAAGGCAAATTGAAGAAGGCTGAAGAGAAGAAACGTAGAGAAGCTGCTTCCAAAGACGCCAAGGAGAAGGAAGCGCGATTGGCAGCACAGCGTGCCGAGATCGAGGCTGCTCGTGAACGCGAACGCCAGCTGCAATTGCAGCTGGAGGCACTTGACGATGATCAGTCCTCGGATGATGAAGGTCCACAAAACATTACTCCTCAGGATACCACACCTACCGCTAGCCAGGAGTTGCCACGCGAGTCTCAGCCTCCGCAGCCACCACCAATGCCACAGGCTTCCCATAACACGCCGCCATCATCTATTGCTAGCCCGCCTGCGTCGTCTGTCACTAGCCCGCATCCTGGCATGGGCGACACTGAGACCAAGAACCCATTCTTGAAGAAGATGGCCATGTCCAACCAGGAGAACAACAACACTGCTACTCCGCCTGGCCCAACTAGCACTACAAGCGAAGTGTCTACCAACCCCTTCCATCGCCTGACTCAAGAGAATGCCAACAAGTCTACTATTCCTACCTTTAACGAGCCGGCTGCACCCTCAGCCCGCAGGCTGGGACGACAAGATGATGATGACTGGTCTGTAGTCGACTCCGATGACTCCTCATCCGACGATGACGAAGCGCCCACACAAGGTGGAGCCAAGCAGCTGGCCTCCATCCTTTTCGGCACCATGGCGCCCCCACGCCCTCTGTCTTCGATGGATAACAAGAGCCCTCGCGCTGAGAGCCCGGCCGTAGGATCATCTCCTGCAGGTATTCCTCCACCTCCACCTATGCCCTCAAGCGGTGCCCCGCCACCACCTCCTGGCCCACCGCCACCTCTAGGTGGTGCTCCTCCGCCGCCACCCATGCCTAGCATGAGGCCTCCAGCTGGTGCACCTGACCGCGGTGCCCTACTTGGTGAGATTACTGCCGGTAAGGGCTTGAGGAAGGTTGAGACTAAAGACAGAAGTACGGCTGCGACTGCTGGAAGGGTTCTGGGCTAAGTCGGTTGTCATGGGAGTAATCAGGGGAATGTTGAATGGATTACAGGCTTGTAGTATAATTTTGTGTAGTGCATAGATTGTTTAAGATGGTTGATTGACATTATTCCTGTTTTTTGTTTGTTTGTTGTACTTGATCCGAGTGCCCATTACAGTGATTATTTCCCTTCGTTCATCATTACTGCTGCGTCTGTTCTCTTGTAGGTTCCATCTTCCTTGTAGTGTTTTCTCTTTTGACAAGGGCGTATTCGTCTGCCATAAACAACCCGTACGTCTTGTTCCTGTACATCGCATTCTCATGTAACCCACCTCCAAAATTTCTCATTTTTTCCTAATCTCGTCTTGCTGCTTCGTCTTTTCCTGCTGCATCTGATCCAACGGAGGCACATACCCATCCACCATCCAACTCCAAATATTCAACCCAATCTTCTCTCCCTTGATAACCGGCAACCCCGCATGCCAACTCTCCGCAAATCCCGACCCATCAGACCGTATATTCTCCCAATACACTGCGTTTCCCGGAATCGGCTTGAAAATAACACCCTTCTCAAGATCTTCCTGCGCTCTATCCTGCGGAATCTTCGTCGTAGAAGTCTCGTTTTCGGCATCTCCACTTCCCTCGGTAGCAGTTGTAGGCGCAAATAACGACCCATACGCACCCTGAACATCACACTCTATAAATCGACACCAACTCTTATCCCTGGGCCTCTCAAGGCGCGGGAAATGTGTACCCCCACCCTCACACTGCCCATCGACGTACACCATGAAACTGCTTACGCGCCCGCTGTGCTTGGTCGCGCTGCTCCAGTCGTAGTGGTATGTGTAGTGGCCACCCTCGCCGTAGCGCTGCGTCCAGAGTTTCTCGACAAAGGTGTTTGGGCGCCAGCCTTGGAAGGTGCGGGCGCGGTCTTCGATGCATTTTACGGTTTCGGAGCGTGGTAAAGGGGCTTTTTCCGAGAGCCTGATGGTGGGGTTTAGAGATTCGCGACCGGAGGTCCAGATTGTAGAGGGTTTGAAGAGGGGTTTGCTGAACGAAGTAAAATGTTAGTTTGGGGGGTTCGTGAGAAAAGGGTATGGTAGGTGTTGATTTCGCGGTTTGGTGAGATATGCATTCTATGCAAGGCTCATTTGTTTATCAACATTTTTTATGCTGGCTGATGCATTGCTATGCATGGAGGCCATAATTCGAAGGTTTGGTCACACCCTGCTTCAGATGCAAAGGAAAATGAAGTTGGGTCACTTACCTCAAATCAACAACCTCTTTTCCCTCTCCTTCTCCCAAGAACCCTTCAATGTATATTACCAGGGGATCTCGGCTCAGCACGTAAACTCCCTTGTAACGGTGTTCTGCACATGACAGATTGGTTTCCGGGATGACGAGGCTCTCCAATGTTCTCACATCTACAACCTTTCCTTCTCTTGCTTTGCCATTGACATTATAGCTTTCTGAATTAGATGACGAGGAATTAATCAAGGACGATAAAGGAGCTCCCGCGAGGACATATGCTAAACCGGCCAGAAATACGTATTGAGCGATTGAAGAAAGCGATAACTGCGATTGCTGCAATGGCGGTGAAGGTGAGGTTGGGGAGCGCATATCGCAGCGGGTGGGAGACGAGGTAGTAAGACGAAAGTGAGCAACAAAAACAACAGATTGCCACCAGAGTTCAAAATGCCGCTTCAACGCTTCACAGTAATCAGATCTCGAAACTGAGCACACGTCAAGTACAGACACAACGAGCGATTTCCCTACCCCAAAAGGACCGAATGGGGTGAAGACGAAGAAGAAAGCAAAAGACGGTGTTGATACTTTTTGCTCGTTATCGTCGTCAATCCTTGTTCTTCCACCGAAAAAAAAAACAAGAGAGCAAGAACGTCAAAAAACAAACAAAAAAATCCAGCCAACTACCCAAGAAGGGAAGAAAGAAAGAGAGACAGAAGGACGGGGAATGATGAAAGAGGACAAGGACAAGGTTTCCAACGCCGACAGATAGATTAACACAAGACGCGATCCAAGAAAGAAGGTGTGTCCCCACTAAAACACCAAACATGCATGGAACACAGAACACCGAGAACCATCAAATTTACCCCTGAAACCAAAGCACCTTGATATCAAAACCAACCCCACAACCAAAACAAATCCTACCCAAACCGCCCCCTTTGTACATTTCCTTATCAGTTTATCGCCTCAACCTCACTCCTTTCATCTTAAACCCACCAAATCCCAATCCCGAAACAGAACTCGACCTGCGATCTCCCCACCGCCGGGAAGGGGGTCGAGGGGGGGGGGGCGTCGAGAGAGCTCCACAAGAGCACAACAGCTAACTTTACTACATATCAAAAGGAGTATGCGTAGTATTAAAAAACAAATAATAAAAGTGGGGTTCAAAAAAGCCCGCGGATGCTCAATTGGCGTGGTCGCGCTGTGGCCAAGCTGCGTGCGCTGCGTTCTAGTGGTATCGTTGAGCGGTGTAGCGTTGTCCTCTCTTCCTCTTTCTCTCCAATCGACTAAATTCATAAAACACACATATGTATGAGTTAGAGAGTGCGCGTGAGATTTGGGCGAAAAACGTGGCATGGATTATGTAAACTAGTAACATCGCGTCCGGGGGAATTAAAAGTAGTGTTACCAGGTGTAAGCACATGCAATACGAGGTATAAGAAGGTAGGTTGAAGGAGGAAAAAAAAACGGGCGGAAAGACGGTCCGGATATGACGACGACGAGGGATCTGGTATAGTAAAGTTAGGCGGGGGAGCGGGCGGTTTGTTTAGGGGTCCAAGGTCCAAGGCCCAAGGGGCGGGAAGAGAGAGAGAGAAAGAGNCNNGGGGGGGGGGGGGGGGAAGCGGCGTTAATGGACCCCCTTTTTCCTTTTTCCTTTCTTTTAGGGGTTTTTTCTGGGTCCAGCTTCACCCACCTCGCCTGGTCTTGCTTAAGTTCCTGATCTGATAATTGTGATTGCGTGACAAGCGGGGATTCAGAGAGGTGGGGTGTTGGAGTGGAGAAAGTCTAGGATAGAGGAAGAGGGGGGGAGGGGAGGGGCCGCTTGTTTGCGTCGCGTGTGCGTATGTTGATGCTCCATGCGTAGACACGGTGTACACTGAGTGCCCCTCATTTGTTGCATCATTCTTTGGGTGGTGACGTGACGTGGGACAACAACGGCGGTCAGCCTCACTTTCTAGCAGGGGAGGTTTTCCCGCACAGTGGGAAATGGGGCAAGTTTGCCAGCATCGTGCTGCAACAAAGCTTTTTGCATCAATGCTTTTTTGTGTTAATAATTTAATGATATAAAACAACCAGCTCCCTCCAATTGCACCTCCCCGATATTAAGTCAACAGATATCCAAGCAGAGAAACCAGGATAGCACATTCTCAAGGAAACGAACGTCTGCTATGATTTCATGATATTCTCTTGAACGAAGAAACAATTGGTATCCCAAAATCTAAGCACATCTAACAAGATACATCCGCCTGCAAACTGGCTCAAAAAGATGTCAGTCGAATACTGAGACTTGGGGTTGCCCGTCTCCACTCAAATTATACCAGGATGCAAAGATCCTGGTTGTCGAAAAGTTGTCGCAATGCGCACAATTGGTCGACTGCATGTCTGACGCACAAGACTGGTGTCGTCTGGCGCTTTTCTAGTTGGGCGTGCAGTGTCCTGACCACTCATTTGGCGGGGGGTTCTGTTATGCCCACCCTCCTCCTCCCTACCATATTTACTTCTCTAATAGTTGATTCGGCCATAAAGAATATCTTTTTCAAATCGATTGCACTATTGATGTTTGGCACTTTGCTCTTTCTCGTGTTGCTCGGCCACTTCACGTGCATAAAACTCCACAAGCATAGTTCCATAGGCCTCCATCTCCTCCAAGGGAACAGCAAGGCGGAAGTCGTTCAAGAGCAGAAATTGCAGCTCCAGGTGATTCAATTCAACCAATGGCAGACCACCAACCTTTGTCATGTTAGCCAAAAATCCAATCATATGCGTTTACATATACACACCTTTGCATATCTTGAGTTTGTGTAGAACACGTCAGAGAAGAACTTGCTTGCACACGTCACGCCAGCAATGACAAGACGATGAATGTTGAAACTGTCAACCACAAAGAAATGTGAGAGGTTTAACGCAGTATCCGCGTGCAAATCTTGCTGGGGAGGAGAGGGTGGCTGATGACCTTCAGCTGGAGTACCGGCTACCTTGCCCAGAGATCCTGAAGGCGGAGGCGTGGCGGCTTGAGCCGAAGCAGATTCAGATTGTACACCATCTGTACTGGTTGGAGTTGCTGATAGGGCAGATCTCGAACGTTCCACAGACTGTTGGTTAGCCTTGCGAAGACCAGACATTGGGCCGGCATTTACCCTCTCGGTCATTCTGTCAAAGTAGACAAGCAAACTTAGAAAGACTTCGTAGGTGGTGGGGCAGTATTTATGGATTCTGCTAAGGTAGCTGAGGATGGAGATACTGGGCACGTTCTTTCCATGGAAGGCAAGAACGCTGGTGGTTTGCTGGCTGAGCCCTGATGTACCTTCTGGGGGTGGGATTTGACGATGCAGGTGGTCGTGTTGGCGATCGTTTGTTGTTGTGATTTTAGTCAACAAGCCCGCCACCATTTCGATAATGTCGGAGACGGGCATCTCACTAATCTCGTACTGAGGGCCGACATCTGCCGGGTCTCGTCGGTGCCGCCGCGCCAGCGACCGCGACTGGGAGAAGGGACTGGAGTCGTCTAGAGCGAAGCTTTGAATATGGGAGAGGCTCTTGACCTTGATGCGGTTGGGCGATGGTGCAGGCGAGCGCAGAGACTGGGCCGGTGAGGGCTGGACGGGAGCTGAACCTGTTGAAGGTATGGTTCTTGTGTTTGTGAAGGCGCCCGAGGCGGGGTTTGAGCCAGAGGGCGTGGGTTGCTGTGAGTGCGGACGGAAGCAGGGGCTGGCCGGGGCCTGAGCTGCTGACGGTGCGGAGTCTGTGCTGGCACTCAGGTGGGAGCTGTTGTGCTGCTGCGATCGCTGGCTTGGTGTCGAGCTCGACTGCGGGGCTCCCGAATCGGCCATGGGAACATCAGCAGACGGAGCACCTACACGCGGCGCATTTGCGCTGGGTGAAGGTGAGGGCCGTACGGGCGTGTGCTGGGCGGTAGAAGATTCCGGTGTCTGCTGATGCGAGCTGGCGCCGCCAAACATGTTGGTGTGAAAGTGGTTCCCACCGAAATCGCTCACCAGAAGCGATCCCATGCCGCGTTCGCAGGGCGATCCAAGTTACCACTCTTTGAGGGGGCGGGGAGATGCGAGGGGATGCGACACAGCGACTGTGTTTGTGATGGCAGAACGGGAGGGCCGGGAGACAGAGGGTGCTGGCAAGGCGGTGTCGGTGGTGCAATGTTGTTGAGCCTTATCGCAAAGAGCCCGAACTTGGACGCAGCTTCAGGGGGCGCGAATAGGGCATGCGAGCCTGCTCTGACTGCCGTACTCGAGGGGAATTGGATGCCACGTGCCGGGTTGGGGGCAGAGGCAGAAGAGGATGGAGCACAGGATACAGACCTGGCGTGTTGGGCGACGAAGTGTTGTTCGAGAAAGGCGTGGGGAACGAACGGGACGTCACAGACCAACGAGTGGCTCGCAGGAGGAGGGAGACCCTGGCTGCAATTCACCACCTTCCGAAGCCCATGTGACGACACTGTGCATCTCCATACACGACACACAGACACCACGAGCCCTATCGCCTACACTGGGGCTACGGGGAAAAACACCTCACCAGCACCAGCCCGCCTCGTCTGCTCTGCGACTTCGCAGCCATGCCCCGCGCGGGCTCGGCCTGCATCCTTGGGCACACGTCCACACGTCTCTTCCTCTGAGTAGTCGGAGCAAATAGGAGCGCTGCAATCCATGGCCAAATCCCGCCACCTCATTGGCCTGCTTGCTGCGCCTCGCTCCCACGTCTACTCCTCCCCGGCAGTCTCGTGTCTGCTTGTCTAACCAAACATTGCTACATACTTCACGTCTGCTGATCTCATAGTCACTTCACTTTTGCTATCTGCGTCCTTTTTTGTTTCATGTAGCTCGTTCCGACATCGTCGTCGGGTCGGGTCGTGTCATATCATACATGCTTGTCTATCCATCAGCCAGCATTCACACTCCCGACTCTACTGCCTGCCTGGGCCCTCGTAGTTCTGGTCGGGGAGGTACAAATGCCTCTGTGCGCCCTTGCCCGTGAGTACAACCATGCGGATGACACCTCCAGAGCTGCCGTCCCACTTGATTGCCTCTGCGAGTGCCCCCTTGACGAACTTGATACCTTCCTCCTCACTCATGTTCTCCCTCCAGTTTGCGTCGCAGTAACCGTAGATGTATGTTGATCCCGAACCGCCAATCGCATATGACTGCTTGTGAAGGGAGCCTCCCAGGGGGATCGAATAGACTTGGCCGCCGTGGCGGTGGTCCCATCCGGCAATGATCAGTCCGGCACTGCGGCACAGTCAGCGCCTGCTCTTCCTGAGCGTTTGTTGCACTTACGAAAGTTGGTCCTTGTTGGAGTAGCAAAGTTCTTGGAACAGCGCTGCTGCCGTCTGTGTAGTCGGGGGCTCGTCGTTGGTGGTGCCGTACATGCCCAGGTGGTATTGGACAATGTCGGCCACCGCCTGTGTATCGGCTGCCGAACCGGATCTGCAGCACCAGATGGTGTCGTGGACTTGTGTGAGTTTGTCCGTGACTCGGTTTGCGATGTATGCTCCGGTCGTCGTCCTACTGTCGGCGGCTAATATGACACCGTCTTTGAAGTTGATGGCCATGCTGCATGATGTGAGAGACGGCGCGATTGGTAGTGGAGAGCGACATACATGGATGTTCCGAGGCTGCACTTGTAATTAGCAATCTGGAAGCATATCCAAGGGATGCAATGACCTACTTGACCTCACCCTTCTTGAGGTGGTTCATGTCGACATGAATGCCGTCTGCGCAAGAGTGAGCTTCCATTGTAGTTTGAGCATGTGCGGCGGGGTCTATACCTTCTGACAGCGCGCCGGTGGTCATCATCATCGCAATTCGGAGTGGCAGAGACTTGCAAGGGTTAACGGACAAGAACTGGTCGTATACAGAGCGTGTAGAAGGGTGAGTGGCGGGCAAGACGTGTGGTTGCTGTCGGAGCAGCTCGCTGTGTACCAGGCAGCCCGAGCTACGCAGCTCCATGTCTTGGCACTGCGCAACTGGCTGAAACCTTCAGCCGCACTATGCGACACTCCAACTCACTCCTGTACTTGCGCGTTGGAACGCCCTGTACACTCGCATGTCCAGCATTCCGGATGGTTGAGTCTCCTATTTCTCCTCCCTTCTCTTCCTCGCCTACGACTTCATCTCCGCCTCCGTCAAAACCCCTGTTCTCAAGAAGCCGCTCGGCGCCTGCCATTGCATCCTCAACACGCCCCACAGATACTGGAGGCCGCCCCAGCAGCATGGCTTCCGCGCTCGATTCATTCATGGGCTACCTGCGCGTTCCGCTCATTGCATCGTCTGGAATCGCTGCCCTGCTGAGCGGCCTCCTCTACTTCAAGCAAAAGTACGCAATGGTTGCAATCGATTTTGTCCGCATGGCTAACAACAATAGTGAGATCATATATCCGCGAAACTTTCCCTCGGATGCTCGCACAAACGTACCCAGACCCTCGCAATTTGGCATCACCGACTCTGAAGAGTTATTTATTCCTACACCGGATGGCGAGTCGCTAAGCGCCTTTCTCATTCGAGCCAACAGGCAACATGCGCGCAACGTTACCATCCTTATGTTCCACGGCAACGCCGGCAATATAGGCTACCGCCTTCCCATCGCAAAGATACTGGAGAACGAGCTGCGATGCAATGTGCTGATGTTACAATATCGCGGTTATGGCCTATCTTCTGGTAACCCCAATGAAAAGGGGCTCATGATCGATGCACAGACTGGACTCGACTACATTCGCCAAAGACACGAACTTCGCGACACCAAAATCGTAATCTACGGCCAGAGTATTGGCGGCGCTGTTGCTGTGGGGTTAGCTGCTAGGAACCAAAAAGAAGGCGACATTGCAGCCATCATCCTGGAAAATACCTTTACTTCCATGAGAAAACTTATACCAACGTGAGTCGCGTACCACCTATTGGGTGACGTCACTGATCAGAAGCAGCGCCTTTCCTCCTGCTCGTTTCCTGGCACCCCTATGCCACCAAATATGGCCCACAGAAGAGACGATTTCCAAGATTACAAAGATACCCGTCCTTTTTCTTAGCGGTCTCAAGGACGAAATCATTCCGTAAGCAGCCACCGGCTCCTTGTTTTTTTTGGATTTTAGTCTATCTCATACGAAATATCTGTAACTAACTCTTTTTGACAGACCCTCGCACATGACGCGATTGTTTGACGTTTGTAAAGCCCCAAAAATATGGAGAGAACTGCCAAATGGTAGCCATAATGATACTGTTGCGGAGCCTCATTACTTCCAATACATCGAGGAGTTTTTGAATAAGTTCGTGGCACGGTGAACTTGAATGCAGTCGGAATATCGAATAGCCGGATGGGACGGGCAGGTATGCCGGGTAGGCTCCGCGCTCTATTGTTTGGTAGGGTCCAACAACAGGGACGAGCGCTAGTCGTCAAAAGGCTGACGGCAAATGTTCGGCGTGTCACTGCGCCGCTGCCATTGGTTCACGTTCCTCCATGGAGAAATCCGCGATTTTACATTGCGCCTGGTAAGTATGTGTTTCTTCGTTCGCATGCGCATGAATGCTTTTAGCAGGCTGTAAGCGAAAGCCATGCGTCACCCAGGCTTCTCGGAATCCGAGCTTGGACTGTCTGTCTCTTGGAGCTGAAGATAGCGCCTCACACAGTTAACAACGTGCCGATGCCGGCTGCGCGTATGCAAACCGATTGGCAAGATAGTAGAATACACATAGCCGACTACGTCGCCCTAAAGCCAGCCCCAATATCCAAATCGCGATGGTATGCATAGCATCCTAATGACAAACGAAGCTTAGCAGCTGTGATTTGTATTTCTGGTGCCCTATCAGCTATTCTCCGCGGCTATCTAGCATGTGCTAACAGTCAGGTATGACGGAGGATGTACACCTGGTTTCTCGTTCAGCGGCAAGACTTCAAGCGCGCCCGACCAAGTGCAAGACACAGGTAGGTGTGTGGGGGTGATGAAAGATCGCCAGGGACCATGTATGTATGTACGTATACATGCATGCATTCTTTAGTCTGCTTGCCGGCAGAACCCGCTTGGGCAAAATGAAGCAGAAAATTGGAAGTAGATCCTCCACAGCCCCCGTTGCCTCACTATGGCAATGCTAGTCGGAGCAATGATTGCGAACGGATAGGTCGGGAAAAGCTAGTACATGGGCCTACCGGAACTCTCCATCTCCACAAGGTGAAAAGTTGCGACGGACCCTGCCCACTTAGAGTATCGAGGACCCCGCAAGAATCTAGCCGAGTCCGTGGACACGAAGAGGCTCTACGGCAATGTCAGAGTGGGTATCGGCCACTGCAAGCTGATTTGACTGGAACTTTATCGCTGGACCCTTGATGCGGATGCAAATAACGCCACCTTAGATATCCGTGTGGAGTCCCAGCCGGGTGTCTTCCATGTCCCAAGTTGCATATTAGCGTAGAGGACAAGTATGGTTTCCAGGCTGTGAAGGTGTTCGCATGCCATTTCAAGCTCTAGCAAGTATGCATGCACGCCTGCACACATAGTAGTACGACGGGCTGGATGCGACAGCAGCGACACGGCGAAGCTGGCGCAGAGTGAGGAGCGGTGCGGCCAATTCGCCATGACCCTGACCGTATCCCTTCAATACAGGATTTGCGGTAGTCTATTCTTACACCACCACCAGCGTCATACTCTACAAACCCATAAACACCCTTGCAGACGGGACAGGTGCTGCGTCGGCGGGCTGCTCGCCGGGTGACGATCATAACCGCGCAGGCACAAGCATGGTGGCTGTGCTGTGGCGCGCAGATCTCTGAACATGTCGAGATGCGGTCACGCCGATAACGTGGCAAAGACGTCTGTAGGAGTCGAGTAGTCCCGCATCTCCGTTATTGGCAGCCCCATAACCCGTTCTCATGTTTGAGGAAACGGTTGCGGGCCACCCAGCCCAGCGGACCGCCGAGTGCTGACCTTGTCAGATGTCGTTCTGCTGTCGCCTTCAAGCCAGCTTTGCTGACATTTGGCCGCCCATGTTCGCGCCATCCAAGTCGCAGTGGCGCTAAACCTTCACGGGGCTCCAGGGCGTACAGTATACCCGCACGCTCCATCTTTCTTCCGCTCTGGTCTTGACGCCTTACTGCAGCATTACCAAGGGAGTATCACCGCCGAGACTGCTTGGGTCTTGCGTAGCTTGACAGCCCTGACGATGCTTTTGCCGGGTCCCTTGTCAGCGCCCTGGGCTGGCTCCATGCCTGGTCATTATCGTGGTGCCCTAACGCGTCCACGCGGCGTCCACGCCTCCTCCCTGCTCTCTAGGCGACCGGACTTCTCTGGGCGGCTCAGTCCATGCAGCCTGCATCTGATCACCGTCCCGGTGGCCTTTGTCAATTGGCCAGTATAGCTGCGTGCATTTCGGACCCATTGCCCTGGGTGGTGTAGGATTACTTCACCATCTTGAACTAAAGCATGAATCTTATGACCCGGCAGCACCGAACGGGTTTGGAACAAAGTGCTAGCGCGACTTGTGTGGTCGAATACTTTCTTCACCATTACAGACAAACACACACCGTTACAAGGGATACGCCAGCATCCCTTGGTAGATCTCGGGCTTCCGTTATACAAGCCGAATCTAACTTTTTTTTGTCCGCCCAAGCCATGCTACAAGGGACCCGCTAAGCTTTGGTAAGATAGTCCATGATCAGCGCCATCGGCCCATGGCAATCTAGAAACGGCATCACTCGCCACATGTGATGAAATACCACTTTCCTCAACGCTTACGTTCTACCTTCCATTGACTCAGGCATCCAATTGACTTTCTCTCATTTCGCTACGGTGATCGTTTCGCCTCCAGAGTGTCGGTTCAGACCATGCCGCTCCACTTCCCATCCTGACAGCCACAACTTGAACCCTCCAGAGCCAATCAGAAGGCTGACTGTTACTGCGGCCAGCGGCGACTGAAGCAGAAAACCCGCGAAAACCCTCGTGCGGTCTTCCCGTTCTCATTAGACCCGCCAGTGAGCTCCTCCCTGTGATCCTAGCTTCTAATATCTGCCGCATGTACGCTTGCCCTCATTGCGGTCCCTGCCGTTGCGCCGCCAAACCTCACGGAGCCTTACAAGATCGTTTCTGTCATCTGAGTGGTTGTGTAATTCTGACCATCGTCGTCGTTCCGTCTTAAGCGAGCTCTTTCTCTAGCCGGTACATCAACCGAAGTCGTTCATCTTCCCTCGAAACGGTTTCCCCTACTTTTGGACTTCTTTTTTTACACGCGAGCACTTCACAGCCTCCTTTGTTTCGCTGTCACATCACCATTACCATTTTCCCCAGAAAGCGACTTGCTCTCGGTATCTGGCGTCCCCGGATTGCCACATCTCACCAAGGCTGGTTGATATAGAACTAGGTATGTCGTGCTCTACCTTTACGGGCTGGTGTGGCACCGGGCATTTACACATTCGTTTTCCTAGAATTTCTTTTTCTAAGTGTAACATGGACTAACATGGCTTTCGTTTGGGTCCAACAGTGGGTGCCTCTTCCGGTCGTTTACGAACAGCACATGGGCGACTTACCACCTGGCCCGCGGCCTCAAGCCATGGATAATCCTACGACTGCCTTTGCGCGTGATGGAAACCCTCCTTTTACAAAAACCGACACAAGCTCTCCATTTCACTCTCAGCTCAGCGCTCTCCCCCAAGGACAGCATCGACAAGACTTCCGCTCAGCCGCGCATCCGACCGGACACTATCAACCTCAAGAACACAACACATCTTCGCTTAATATGGGCGCAATGATTGGGACGTTGCCAGACTTGAGCGCTGGCGATGATTCTTCACTCAACGCTCCTACAGTACCACGCTCACTTTCAGGTGCATCGACATCGGCCATGGCGTATCAACTTGGCCACAGCTTGCAAATGCCAGGCAACATGCCATCGCACTCGCCATACGGACCTAATTTTCCTATGGGCATGCACCAACAATCCTTCATGCCCCAGCATGGCTCTCAGTACAGCGCATACCCTTCTTTTACCACCAACCAGTCTCGTTCAGCTGGTGCGGCACCGATGCAAGCGCCATACCAACACTACCAACAAGCCTCTCACTACATGTATTACCCAGTGCCATATGGCCCTCAAGGGCATTTCAGTCCGGGATTCGCAGCACAAGCTCCTCAAGGCCAAGCAATGTACGGTAGAAGAGCAAGTTTTTCAAACACTGGTATGCAGGGACAGGCCACAGATCATTCGCATATTGATGGCAATTTCTCAGGCCCTCGGATGTCTACAGCAGGCTTCCAAGGCGACCCAGCCACCTTTACGACTCCCTATGGGACCCAGTTGACGTCGCCCTCCGGTAGGTCTGCAGGATTCTCCTATCCGTTTGTGTGGTACCGTCATTTCCAAGAACACGAAGGCTAATTGCTCGTGTAGGAATGCTTCGCTCGGGACCTATAAGTTCGATTCCTCGTGGACCGCCACGAAAACCCAAACAGTCCGGACACGCACTTTGGGTTGGAAACCTTCCTCCTGGAACTACGGTAGTTGCTCTGAAGGACCATTTCTCTCGCGATGCTACAAAAGACATTGAGAGTCTGTTCTTGATTTCCAAGAGCAACTGCGCCTTTGTCAACTATCGTACAGAGGAGTCTTGTACGGCTGCGATGCATCGATTTCACGATTCACGCTTCAATGGCGTACGACTAGTCTGTCGCCTTCGACGCAGTTCAGCCCCAGCGTCAGGTGTTCCTACGGCACCTTCAGCTATGATAGACCAACAGAAGCACACTTCTCGACCAGAAACGCCGGCCCAGGACAGTACCCCTGACGATCTTGCAGGAGGTGCAGTCGAGCCGCCTGTTCAGAAAGGAATTGACGGCGAGAAACCCTCTGCTGATGTTGCAAACAAATACTTTATTGTCAAGAGCCTCACCCTACAAGACCTGGAGCTCAGCGTACGGAACGGGATTTGGGCTACCCAGTCTCACAATGAGGATATCCTGAACAAAGCCTTCCAGGTGAGTTGTTCTTGGTTATATTTCACTACGTATAACTGACGCAAGACAGTCTGCTCAAAACGTCTATCTCATTTTTTCTGCGAACAAGTCGGGCGAGTATTTTGGCTACGCCCGCATGGCATCACCAATCCTCGATGATGGTTCTCGCGTGATAGGCTCGGCACCCAAGCCCGAAGCCATCATCGATGCGTCAGATGTGCCTAAATCGATTCCTACTGCAGCAACTGAGTGGGCACCCCCAGGAAGGATTATTGACGACTCTGCGCGTGGCACCATTTTTTGGGAGGCAGAGCTATCTGATGCAGAAAAAGAAGAAGGAGAGGAAGAGAAGGAATCCAAAAAGGTCGAAAAAGAGGAAGCAGTCCATCAAGCCGTGGATGGAGATGCCGCAGCTGTTGCGCAAGGCTGGGGCAAGCCATTCAAGATTGAGTGGATTTCAACAAACCGCCTTCCATTTTACCGTGCAAGGGGCCTCCGCAACCCATGGAATGCCAATCGCGAAGTCAAAATTGCAAGGGATGGCACCGAACTTGAGCCTAGTGTTGGAGAGCGCCTGGTGCAAATGTTCCACCGCCTAGGCCCTTCAACTGCAGGTGCACCCGTCATGCCTGTTGGACCCACTGGCATTTTCCCTCAGATGCGACCAATTTAGGCAGGCATCCTGCTTGAACCAGCCTCATCGCACGATACCTGGGGCTTGGAATTCATCAAGCGTATGATTGTCAGGCGAAGCAACATGAGTGAGCCGCATAGGTTGTCACATTATGTTGTTGTTTTTTGGACAGAAGCAAGTCAGCATTGGATCTTGGTGGCGCTGCTGGGCAGCAAGATCACATTGACAGTGGCTTGGACTTTTCTGTCGCACTAATAAAGGCCAAAATCTGACGATGGAATGCTTGTCATGAGGCAAAATGAGACTACGAAGCCGGACGATTGACAAATTTTGGATTATGAGGGTGAAGCGTTTTTCCTTATTGCATTGCACCCTTGTCAGTTATGTTACGTACTTACGTCGCCTGCTCCTTCCTTTCCCGTTTGTCTTAAATGTAACATATGTTTCTTCGCCGTTCTCCTCTTCTCTGACTTGTAAATGCTTTTAAGGTCATTGCCTACCTAATCGTCTAATGCTCTGCTTACACATCATTCCATGTTCCATATATTTGGTTTCCATCCGTTGATGCGATTTTCCTTGGCGTCCCTCCCCCACTGTTTGGTTGCACAGACATGAAGGGATTGATAGTCCTGTTCCTCGTCTGCATCCAGTCTCACACCCTTGAACAGAGTGGAGACGACTACCAAAAACCCTGGTTCGGTTTACCGTGTTCATTTTAGAACCAATACACCGAAGAGGCGATTCCTATGAGGAGAAGCATCAGAGCCAGCTCACTGTGACCGGCCGATTGTTCAATAGTATCTCGGCCAACAAATGCATCCCGTATGCAAGGCTGTCCGCGCAATCAGAAGAGATGGAAGATAAATCCGGCCATTGCCGTTTGCCGGAGATACAGTTCACCATGCTGCAGCCCCACATTTTTTTCGACGCCATCGAAGAATTGTCACAAGCCCTCTTGAAGAAGAAGCAACGTTTACCTTTACGTATAAGGTCCATGGCACATTTTGATTCCCGTTCCCGGTGAGATACGCCTTCTGGTAGGAATCCCGAGAAGTCGGCTTTTCCGGACGCCTCATGGCACATGGAGCCCAACCGACCATGAGTGTCCTGCTCCGTATCCACTCGCTGTTTCCCCCTCGTTTGCGCTACGGACGAAACCTTTCTGTGTGTGCCACCAATAGGACCCGCACGGATGCGTACACTCACACATGGCAAAGCAGCGCCACGGCGTGATTATCCGCTCCTGGCAGTCGTATGCTGTCGTGGTGAAGCTTTTTGTCCAGGCAGAAAATAACACGTTGAACAAAAATTCTAGGCCTGGCCGCCGGGCCCTGACGCATGCGCATCTAGAACCTACGATGCCCATACCCATGACCCCTACCGAAGCACATGCATAACCAAATTCACGATACATACGCATCAAGGTTCAGCATGCGATTTTGCAGTTTTGCCCATGAGGGACTGTGCACGCTGGCCCAAGATTGCGGTGTTTGCGTGTGCCGTTGTGGCGGTGTACGCGCCATACTGTTTTCGACTAGTCTTGCAGGGATGTCAGGACATGTCGTGCTCGTCCATGGGCTTTTGGTGGGATGATCTCAGGTGAACAAAGTATACTAGTAAAAAGGGACTCCACAGCACCTTATCTGTTTCTGTATCTACACTACATATGTACACATGGACACGATTAAAAGCGAGTAATGGTGCCGCGTCTCTCTTGCGGGAATACTTGCCCGAAAGCTTTCCAACACGGCGAAGCCGACAACTTTCGCTTCTTTCTACTCTAGGACTTTTCTAGCGGCGTGGGGCCGTGGGAGACGAGGACCAAGGAGCAAAAATGATCAACGTGGAGAAAAAGAAAAAAAGGGCAAACTTGGGGGCTGCAAGAGCGGGATGAATGGAGCCTTTGAAAACAAAAATCAGAGACATGGGGCCCTCTTGCACTGGCTAACACCGTACACGCAGATAGGAGCTGTGTATCATTGCTTTTTGCCACTATATCTGGCACAAGCACCGGTATATACGCTCTGCCAAGTGCCCGATTCTCCCTCAGCCACGCTTTCGACCCTTCTTCACCCGTCTGACCATTTGTCCTCTTTCCTTTTCCAACCCGCAACGTTACAAAAAATAGTGGAGAAAGAGAAAAGCGTCAAATGTCAGCTTATCCACTCAAGTCGCAGTAGTATGTCTGGTCCAAACTTTAGGGTTTTTGGGCAGCAATCATTCTCTTCTGGTACTAGGTCTAACGTTGTAACGCGACAAGTTCACACACGTCCCAGCAATAAACTGGGACTCACGGCTCACCCCGAGTTCTTTGCGCCATATGGCTGACAAATACTCTTAAAACCTTATCACATACATATATAGCGTGTGTGTGTGGACATGGGGGATACGCACGGGGCCGAGTTTTTGCTTTTGGGCCTATCGACTGCCGAAAAGACTTGGGGTCGAACGCTCGGTACTTTTGTCTCGCCTCATTTTCGGCGAGATTTGAGCGGTAAGATAGCGAAAAGAGAGCAGAGAGAGAGAGAGACATGTGTAGATGCAAGGCCAAAGGTTACTAAGATGCCGCTTATCTGGGGCTTGACCGCCTCGTTGAAGCGGAAAGGGTGTTACGATGTGTGAGGTAGGGAAAAGCAAAGAAAAGTGAAAAAAGAAAAAGGTGAGTGATAGGTGTCAAAAGAATGTGGCCCTGAATGAGTAGATGGCCGTGCAGCGTCTACGTTGGTTCGGTCGGATATCGACTCCGCTGATTTGTTTGTTTGTTTTTTGCTTTACCGGGCGACGCTCACCGCTAGGGGGATGTGAGATGCTAGGGCGTGTAGATGTATGACGACACTATGTATCTAGTAGTGTAGCAATATGTAGGTGTATGATACAGTAGTCGTATTTTGGTTCTTGGAGAACGACCAGGATTATGCATCACGCTGCATATCCGTACGCCTCTCCTCCCTACCAACCCACTTCAATCTCAGAAGAAAATAACAGATACTCAAAAAAATACACAAGTCTAGATGCATGCGTTTTTGTCTGGAACGAGAGACGTTGGCTGAGGCTCCAAGTGTGTATTTGGTATATGTGACTTTTTTTTTTGAGATATCCATACCAGTCGTTCCTAAACATATGATCTCTGTGGTTCTCAAGAGCAATACATCCAACTCAAGTTTCTACATGCAAAGTCCCACCACATATGCAGTGACTAGGTATCACGAGCACATAATCATATTTAGGCAAATAAGTGTTAAGCAGTTAATATAATCAATCGTCTCTTCATAACCGCTAATTACCAAGATACCCGAATGATCATATCATTTCAAATATTCCACCCATTCCAAAAAAATCGATTCCACAGACTTTTTTTTTTTTTTTTAAATCTTCAACCCCCTCACTCCTTCAACCTCAACCTCAACAACCTCATCCACATGCCCCGCACTCTGCGCAAAGGAAACCTCATACAACCCCTTCTCCACCACCCACTCCGTGGCTCTCTCATCAAAGTATGCAAAATCCCTATTCGCAAATGACAGCGAAACCACCGTCTCTTCGCCAGGCAGCAAATGCACCTTGTGGAACGCCGCAAGCGTCTTGACAGGATGTTCATCTGACCTTTCCTTCTTGCCAACATACACTTGCACAACCACAGCTCCAGCCACACTTCCCGTATTCGTAACCGTAGTCGACGCATTAAAAGTACCAGAAGAAGGCTCTGCAACGGCAGTGTTTGAGATGGCAAACGTCGTATACGACAACCCGAATCCAAACGGAAAATGCACAGTCCCCTTATCAAGACGATCGTAGTGTCGATACCCCACGAAGACGCCTTCGGCGTACTCGACAGTAAGCTGACCACTCTCATCCCTCTCGCCGGGGAAATTGCCATGAGCAGGTGCATCTTCGATGCGTTTAGGCCAGGAGATGGGGAGGTGACCCGAGGGATTCACGGCACCTGATATGATATCTGCGATTGCGTTTCCGGCTTCTTGGCCGGGGAACCAGGCTTGGATGAGGGCGGCGACGTTGTCGAGCCAGGGCAAGGCGACGGCTACGCCGGTCGAGTTTACGACTATGGTTTGCGGGTTGACGGAGGCTACGGCGGCGATGAGCTTGTCTTGTGTGCCTTCCCGTGGCAGGTGGAAGCTGGCTTGGTCTTGGCCTTCGGTTTCCCAGACGGGCGTGTGGCCCGTGAAGACGAGGGCGTAGTCGCAGTCTTTGGCGACGGCTTGGGCTTCGGCGGCGAGGTCCTTGTCGTGCTCTTTCTCGTACATGAAGCCGAGTCTGAAACCCGGGAGACCGTCGAGGATGCCGGCGTCGTCGTTGCTGCCGCTTGGCGGTTTGGAAATGATTTCGATCTTGTAGCATTGGTCTTTTACAAAATAGTGGCGGAACTCTTTCTCGGGGTTGCCGCCGAAGAGGAAGCCCATTGCGTCGGGCGAGTTGTGTTTTTGCTCGAAAACGAGTTTCTCGCTGATGTATACAGTCGTTGGGCCGATACCTGAGCATCCAAGATAATGCCAGCCAGTCTCGGCAGGGTAAAAAGTTGCGCCAAATACGACCTCACTGTGTTTGGCCTGATGTTCCAGAAGAGGAGAGAACGCAGCCTCTTTGACACGGTGAGCGCTTTTGATCGGCCTACTTCTGTTGTCTTTGCCGAAAAGCGTCATCGTCCATCCATCATGTCCATCCATGTCTCTACAGCCTTTTGATAGAGGAGGGAGGAGTCGGTACGTTGCTGCGCCCTTGGCGAACTTGAATTCTACGTCGTCGCCATATGCAGATTTGAGGCCTTCCTCTGGCGTGATGCGGTAATGAGCATTCAAAGACGCACTGCCACCGCCATGGATAAGAGCTTCCTTGGCCAGACCAAAAAGCCCAATCTTCTTGCCTTTGACTTTCTCTTTTCTGAGCGGCAAAACACCATTATTCTTCAACAGCGTGATTCCCTGTCCGGCAACATCGCGGATGAGTTTGCAATGCTTCGGGTCGATTACAGACCGTTCTGGTGGTATCTCTGGGTTTTCAAATGCTCCTACCTTCTCAATCAGATTCAAAACGTTCCTCGCTCGCTCGGTGATGGTAGCTTCTGTAACTTCGCCCTTCTTAACCGCCTCGGTCACTGCTTCGACGCTACGCCATCTTGTTGGTCCAGGCATTTCGAGGTCAAGTCCAGCATTCAGTGAGTCGGCAGTAGAGTTTGTGCCGCCCCAATCGCTCATAACAAGGCCATTCCAGCCCCATTCGCCACGCAGAACTTGCTTTAATAAGAACTCGTTTGAGTCCGCATGTGTACCATTGACCTTGTTATACGCGGTCATAACGGCAAGAGGATTGGCTTCTTTGACAGTGATCTCAAAAGGCTTCATGTAGATTTCTCTCAGCGCACGTTCCGAGACAATCTCATTGACACGCAGGCGATCCGTCTCTTGCTCGTTTGCCGCAAAGTGCTTGATCGTTGCTGCAATGCCTTTCTCCTGGAGTCCATTCACAACATTGGCAGCCATCTTTCCGGCTAGATACGGATCCTCGGAGAATGATTCAAAGTTTCTACCACCGAGTGGATGCCTGTGGTTGCACATGGTGGGTGCGAGTCTATGATAAGACTGTTAGTAATGTCCATGCACTATCAAGAAGTACACATACAGCACTCTCGCGCTCTTGGTCTTGGTTTCCTCTGCCAAGGCATGGCCTATCCGCTTTCCGTTTGCAGGATCCCACGTTGCGGCCGTGCATACTGCAGCAGGGAAACAGGCTGCTCGTGTTCCTCCAGTAAAGACTCCACCGCGTGCGCCGTTCGGTCCATCGCTGGTCTTCCAATTGTCAGATTCGATGCACGCCCATTGCTGTAGTTGCAAGCCGTACCTTAATAGCAGGAACGCCTTTTTCTGGTATTGAAACTGTTTCCCAAAAGTCCTTGCCAGCAAGGAGAGTGATCTTCTCTTCCAGTGTCAGAGACTGGAGAGTAGTCTCAACTTTTAAGCTCATAGCTGTAGATGTGTAACAAGATAGAGCCGTGACCAGGACTCTAAGACTGGGGAAAAGAGAGTATAAACGTTGTTTTTTGCTACATGTAGCCGAGATGCAAATTATACGTTGCGAGTACCACCGCTCGGTACCTTTCTTTTAAAGTGCAGCCCTTCAAATCTTATGTACCTAAGTTTCACCCGCTCCACCCCATCTTGTTTTCGGGCTGTTTGTCCGTCTTTCCGATAGACATGCTGTTATCCCACCAACCTCTTCATCGCGACACGATAATGTGGAGAAGCACAGATATGTATCATTGGCCGATTTCAGAAGCCAACATAGCGGGATTGCTATGTGTACCGAGGTTTTGCCATCCGGACAACCTGATTCGTTCTCGGACTGGTTTCGCTCGGCATCTTATGGATGAGCCGAAGAATAGCCTCAAGCGCGGCAAGCTTTTATCCACCCGGCGTCAGATGACTGGGAAACGTGGGGTGCGAGCTTACATATGTTGAGGAGAGTATGAATAGCATAAACGGATGAAGTGCGAGGGTTGCAAGAGGGAAGTTACATGCTTCCACAGCTTAGTCAGATCCGGATGCGGAACCCTTCCGAGGCTCCATCCGACACGACAGCGGGACCCACGTGTGCTTGGCTTGTACCCTGTCAAGGTGAACTTTGTTGTGTATCCACTGAATACGTCACGTCTTGTAAACTCTAGGGTTCCTACTCTGCACACTTTCTTTTTGTCTTGTACAACGTTCTATCCTTCGTATCTCGTTTACCAGGCGGTCATTTCACTATCAAGTTATCTTCTTTTACAATCTTGATCATAATCGTGAAGAGCGAGATGGCATCCAAAACGTCGGCTGAGATCAAGCCCACGTCGAGCCGGCGGCATCCGCTCCAACGATTTGACTCTCCCTCTAAAGGATTTTCAGGTGCTGTGCATGTGAGTTGCAGAACCGAGTTGTCGTGAGAAAAAAAAATAAAGACAAACTTTACATGCTGATCAACTGGGACGTAGGTCATTGGCCTGATCAGTTTCTACCTATCTTTCAAATTGTACGTGCTTCCAAAAGGGTAGAACAAAAAAAAGAAACTAACATATCAAAGTTTGGCCGATAATCCAAATGTCTTTGTATGTTTTTACAGTTCACCAAGTACGATTACACACAAGTATCCTGACATGTCGGTTAGAGTTCTTCATTTGGGTGGCATCTCCAATTCCTGACCATACTCGGTCTCTCCATCTCTACCCTAACCTTCATTGTCGCCCTTTTGGCGGACCTGACATCCACAGCCTTGGACCGATCCCCGGATATGCCTTCCGACCCACCCGCAGCGGCTTTCTCATCGCACCTCTTTAGGTTGAAGAACTACCTAGCGTTGGTCGCAGCACCAATGGAAATCACCATTTCAGTGCTTTACTGGACAATCAAGGCTATTGATGGGAAACTGCTTGTAAGCCCGTATGTATAACTTTGTTTTCTAACCTACTCAACGTATTGCCGTCGTCGATATGATAGTAGTTGGTCAAAACGAATAGGGCTGACGTGAATGTCACAGAGAAATACCACTACCACCCGTATTCTATGATATTGGATTTCATCTCGTGCCTGCTGTTGTTCTTACCGTAGACTCTCTGCTGCTCTCCCCTCCATGGCCCACAACGCCCATGAACGAGTCGGCGCCCATGATAACTCTTGCTCTTTCTACCATTGTCGCCTTTTCCTATTGGATCTGGATCGTAAGTCATGAACTTCTTGACTTTTCACATGTTGCTTCGCTGCTCTGACAATGCCTTAGGAAATCTGCTACTCTCAAAATGGCTTTTACCCGTATCCAATCTTCCAGCTTCTTACCACCACCCAGCGCGTGGGCTTATTTGTGGTAAGTGGAGTCATCATGTGGGTTGTTGGCGGGGGTTTAAGAATTGCATACGCCAAGGTGAATGGGTACGAGAGTGTTGAGCATCTAGAAAAAGTGAGGAGGAGTAAGGTCATGGGTGGAAGCGGAAAGTGGGAGTAAAGGTTAAGAAGAGGAATGGAGTATGAGAAGCTGGATAAAGAGTAGAAGGAACCAACTATTTTGGGCATATTATCAGAAAAAGGAAGAAGCATTCACAGATATCGAGCGAGAATCGATATATGAGTAGAAAATATTAATTAGAAGAGGGTAGAGTAATTGCGGAGATGAAACTAGAAGCCGCCCGAGAGTACATGGGCGTACATGGGGTGCACAGCCGTGTGTTTATAGACAAGACATTGAAACACCGAGATAGATTCTATCACAGCTACTTTACTAACGATGAAGACGTAAAAGCAGCGATACTATATATGCTCACCAGCTGTTCACCAGCAACCCATGTTCATCAGAAAAATTGAACAGTAGGGAACAGTATAGAAATGAGAGAGGACATGTCTGAGTATCTTTCCAGTGATCTTTTCAGCCTGCCACTCTTCGGATATATCATAGTCGACGGTATAGGATACGGCAATAAATTGTATGATATCATGCAAAAGCGGAGCACTAAAATGTCTTTAAGAGAAGACGCCCGAAGCGTGAGTTTGTAAACGCATCGAGAATGGTATGCCAAGTTGTAGGTATCGTGTTGAGAGTTCGACATAACATGGTAATCCTTTAGCTCGTAGACGGAGAAGGCGGCGCAGTGACAGTGCGTTGGTCGTCATCGTCGTCTTGGTCGTGTTGCGGGTAGTCATCAGCCGCATTGTACAAGTGGGTACTGTACTGGAAGACCTGATGATCAGGGCCTAGGCCATAGGCGTAAGCAGGGTACTGGTAGCCAGTACTCTGATGGCTATGGACGTTGCCATATGCTGTTTGATGAAATGAGGGCATGATGTTCTCCTTGTTATCGTATTGAAACGAATCATTGAAAGGCTTGTAAGTATGAAAAGGGGCTGTCGGACTCGGCGAGGGCTGACGTGTGAAGGCCGATGTCAGATAGGTCATACTGCTAGGTTGTGAGAATGAAACTGCGCTGTCATCTTGGTAGACATCAAACCGCTTTCGCTTTGATGCGCGAGCGCGATTGCTAGCGCGGCCATAATCTTCATCGTACTGGCTGCGATCCAGGAAGGGGAATGCAGGGTGATTTGGTTGTCTGGAACGACGAGAGGTGTTGACGTCGAGATGCGCGAGTGCAGGACGCCTGCGCATTGGAGGAGAGCTCTCGGATTTGAGCTCAACCTCATCTCCATCAGACTCAGAACATGAGATTCTTCGTTGTCGCTTGAACGTCCCCAAAGGAGTGAAAATGAGCTCCGTTGCCTCAACATCCAAGGAGTTGAGCTCTAACTGTGCAACAACAGAACTGTCTTTCTTTTGGTTCCTCTTGCGGCGCATCTCCGGGGTAGCTGAATCAAAAATGTCCATCCCAGGCCAGTACACACCCTTGAGCTTGGTTGACTCACTGACAGCCATCGGGTCCGCTACATCTGTAGGATCATCCTCAATTGCACAAGAAGCCGCTGCATGTTGGTATGATCGCCGCCTCTCGCTTGGGTCCGAGTATTCACTCGAGGTCTCATAATCGGGGTTCGTGTAGCTTTGAGAGCTGGCGCGCGACTCTGTAGGCCAGTATTGCATATGGGGCGCGAAAGTGTTGCGGTTACGGAGAACTGGGCCTGAAGTTTGAGAGATGGGTGAAGGCGATTGCTCCACCTTTATCGCTGTATGCTGGCGCTGCTGCTCTGCGAGACGGGGATCGAGAAAGTTACCAGCGGCGGCAGCGCGACGAACGGGACGTGGCACAGGAGCCTCAATCTTGGGAGCAGAAGTAGAACGGGCTACAGGTCAGTGAAGTTAGCAACATTGCCATGCAATGGACCGCAGACATCATGGGCTATACCAGCTGGCTTTGCCCGAGTGCGACGTTTGTCCTTTTGATTCATCCGCTCCGACATGAGCTCCTCAACAGACCACTCAGCATACCATTGGTCGTATGTCTCAATGAGTTGACGGGATGATTCCTCATTTGTGGAGCGGACCTTGACCTTGTAGTAGTTGGATAAGTGGCCCTTGCTGGCGATGTGGGTAAGTAGATGGGAGACATCGCTAAAATTTGGTTTCTTGGGACAGATGTTGCAGTGAAGCGGTATGTTAGCCATGCCGGACGATTGCAGAGGTCGCAGTCTGCAAAGGAGAAACTGCAGCGTGGGCACTGGCGTTTGTAAGGAGCGTAACTGGAGCAGACACAAGAGCAGCACAGCGGCACAGCAGCAAATGCGAAGTGTTGCGAAAGGAGCGGGCTGACAGAGGAGAAGGCGAAGTGGCAGTGGAAGACCTGCTCATGAGAGGTGCAATACAGAGATGGCTGCCGACCGCTGCGGTAGCTCCAGCCCATGGCCTGAGCAGGTAAGAGGAAGTAGAGAAAGAGACAGAAGCACTCGCAGTCAGGACATGGGGGGAAGGCACACAGTATCTGCAGACGAGGGGAAAGTTTGTTGGTGGTGTTCTAGCAGGCAGAGCACGTGGAGAGGCTCGGCACTGACAAAAGAGGCAGCCACCGTTACTTTCCTCCCGCTTTGTGTCTCAGCGCCTATGGAGAAGCCGTGAGGTATTAGATAGCGGGAGGGCAATGGCAGGAGACTGGACTGCGCACGCACATGGACTGCCATGGGGTAGGGATGCAAGCAGTCGCTCCAGAGCTGGATGCATCCAATGACGGGTGACATGTACATGGTGAGTGCAGACATTTACAACTTGCACTGAGCAGATACGAGAACAGGCCGGACGCAGACTTGATCTATGGCATTACCGGTCACTTACCTAAGCACCTACGAGTCACAGATCGAGGCATGCAGCTAGTTCAAAGTCAGTGTCTATGTTCAGGACACGCGAGAGAAAGCACATACTAGACGGGATCTACCTCTTCAAGGCCTGGGTACTTGAGAAGACTTAGACCAGCAATGCCGAAGACGGTATGGAAGACATCGACCATGTCGCCTGGGCGGTCTGCGAGGCCACCTAGTTCCGGGTCCTACAGACATCAGATGCAAGCTCGAGCAAAGACAGACAGCTACGTACCTGGCACTGCAAGATGAATTGCGTCAACTTGGTGCCGTCTATCCAGTGCAGCTTGTCCAGCATGGCCATGCTGCTCATGACCCACCAGCTGTAGCAAACATCTTCCTTCTTCTCTGGCCGCCCGTTTAGGCCACCATTTTTGAGCTGTCGCTCGCTCAGCCATGCGGCAAGCTTTTGGTGGTTGACAAGGTCGAGTCGACCAGCGATGGTCAGTGCGCCAACACACGTGAACACCTGCCCAGCGTGCGACTCGGCGCCAGGGCTGGTTCCGTAGCCGCCATCAAAGTTGGCGCACGAATGCACGTATTGAGCCGCTTTTGCAACATCGACCAGATTGAGCAGTCCCATGAGCGAGAGGGCATTCAGTGCACCGTATAGGAAGCGAGTATCTTGCTCGCCCCACTCGTCACCTGCAAATGTGCCTGTTTGGGGATCCTGCAAGTTTGCAATGACTAGACATGGCATGAGTGCGACTATTCCTCCTCGTGCGAAGACGACGAGCGACGCGCGAGCAACTTACACTGTCCAACCTTGTGGCGGCCGCCGGGGATGCGCTCGTCAAGCTCGGCAAAAGCGTCTAGCGTAGCGAGTATCTGGACGGCACTCACAGTGTAGAGCATGTGTGCATCGTGGCCGGGGGCAGCACCAAAGCCGCCGTCAGGGTGCAAGCAGGAGAATACAAAGTCCAGAATGCCAGCCCTAGGAAGGGCATGGGGATGGCCGAGGAGGTGCAGGGCCGTCAGCCCCCAGTAGAGGCCGTTGAGGCGCAAGTGCTCGGTGAGCCAGTACTCGAGCTCGTCTTTGCGCTGGAGCGGGTCAGCGCGGGATTTGAGGGCCGGGTGCTTGCGCGGCCAGGCAAAAGCAGGACGCACGCACAGTATCGAGGCTCTGGATGTAGCGGACGTGCTTGTCGACGAAGAGAAGCGTGTTGTCGGGCATGGCCGTGGTGGCAGCACGCCCGGGCCCAGAAACAAGAGACATGTTAGAGACTGGGGGGGGTGCGGTTGTGGTGGTGGGAGGGAGGGAGGGATCTAGTGCTTGAGTGACGGGTTACAGGAGTGGTGCATTGGTGTCGAGCTTGGGTGCTTGCGTCGGACGACAGGGGTGGGCCTGAGGCAGCTCGGAGCGGGCGAGGGAGTCTGAAGATGTCTGAAACAAGGCTTGGCAGGCTGCTCATGGATGTAGCATGCGTGCGTGACATGGAGCCATGGACACACACACACACATTCGCACTTATTTTGACTTTGCACGGCACGGCACGGCACTGCGCTGCGCTGTCCTCGGCGGCGGCTGGTGTATGTACGTATGTACTTGTGTGCATAGTACATACGTACATGCAGACACACTTACATAGATACGGACATGTGTGCATATACACACATGCACTGTACCCGCTCCTTGGCGTGTGTGGTGAAGTGGTTGCCCCGCCAGCCAAAGTATGCCGGCCCTCTGTCGACGCATTTCAGAGGAGAGATGGAGAGAAATACTAGAGGCTTGATGTGTGTGTAGTGATGGCAGCAGCAGCGAGATGAATCCGTAGCACACACTGCGTATTCACTGTGCCGCGCATGGCCGGCGGTGCATCCGCGGTGGACACCTGTTTGCGCACGATAGCGTCTCTGGGCCGAATTGGGGTTTTAGCAGCGTCGCGCGTCCTCGTACCTGGGGCCGTGCGCTGGCCTCGTCGTTGGCGCTGCCGCCCTTTGCAGCCCATGGCCTCGCTCCGTCGCACGTCGCAGAGCACCAGAGCACCAGAGCAGCAGCGCAGTGCAGCGTAGCGTAGCCTACTGCAGCGCATACATCCACGTCCAACACCAACACCACCTCCACCACTACCATCGCAACAACCCCCTCCTCCCACAACCACGGCCAGCACCAAAACCACACACACACACCACCGCCACCCTCGCCTCGCGCGCGCCCCATGTGCCCGGCGCCCACCGCCCACGGCCCTCTCGTCCTTTTTCGTGCCCCTTCTGCTGAGTGCTGGCCAAAGCCCACCCCCTCTCCTCCGCCGTGTCCACCGCCCGGACACCGCACTCGCCCTTGCAACGGGCAGCTAAGCCTGTAGTCAGGAACGCACGCGTGCTGAGCCCCAAAATAGATCCACTCTCCCCATTCCCTTCCTCTCTGCGCGTGAACCCTCGTCGGCCTGCAGAGGCGTCGTCTTGTCTTGTCCCTGTCTTTGTCTGCGCCCGCCAGCGACTCCAGCCGACGCCTGTCCCCTGTTTTGGGCGTGCATGTCTGTGTGAGTGAGTGGGTAAGTCGACCGATGGCCCAGACGGGCATTGGCACACCTCCCTCGTCCGCCTTCACCTGTGCCCGCCCCAATGTTGTACAACAGTCGCCATAGCGCCCGCCCCTTTGCCGTTGCGCAACGCTTGCTGACTGTGTCCCAGACGTTGCAGGGCCGCCTTGCTGTCACCCACCGCCCGACTCGACCTCCCTAAGGGGAAGCTGCCAGAAAGCAACGGGCCTGCAAGCGTCAGCCCAGTGCCCAAGAGCCAGGGTCACGCCCTTTGTATTCCCCCCCGTCTCTCTCCCGCCTTCCTGCATGGAAACCACGCCTTGCCGTTGGTGAGATATATCTGACCACATCGCGACACGACGCACCCACATACATACGCCTGCACACGACGCTGACCAGGGCACACAACTACTTGACCACCCCGACCACGGTTCGTACTACCCCGCGCCCTCTGCTAAACTCCTTCGCCTGCTCTTCCAGCCCCTCATGCCCACGATTGAGCGCACCGCTGACTGCCATGGGCAAACACAGCCTCTCGCACTGCCCAAACACTCATGTGCCGCGTCCAATAAAACAATCACCACCACCACCAACACCACTGCTCCCACCGCTACTGCTATCACCACCACCACCACCAACCCTACCTCTCCGCACGCGCCGCATCGCCTGTTCGCACGCTTGCTCTACTGTTTGCACCTGGCCCTGCTTCCCCTCCGCACACATTCATTGGGCTGTTTTGGAATCCCCACCTGCAAACTCGGCGCGCGGACTGGGACAAGCTTTGCTCTCAAACAAAGTTGTAAGACCCAGCCGGTAGCCCCGAAACCATCTACGGCAAATACCACACACGATGCCTAAATCTTCGACACTTTCGTTGGCCATGCGGGGAAAGCCCAAAGATAATGGTGGTAGTGCGCCCCTGAGTCCGAGGAGTCCACGGTCACCAGAGATGCTCGACAAGTTCGACTACGCAGCACCCAACGCTGCTTTCCACAATATGCCGCAATCACCAGCCTCACCCAAACCTCGCAAAGACTCCAAGAGCATCTTCGCCAACTTCTCCGCTAACAAGTCATCCTCACGCCTCAACCACAGCCAAGGAAATTCGTCACGGCAGCTTCACGAGCAGCAATCGTCCCCAACCCTGTATTCCAACGGACGGAGTGGCGCATCCACACCGGATCTCGGCCGCCCTGTGCGCACTCCCAATTCCGATGGTAAGGGCTTCAATTTGACCGAATGACCCAGTTTTGCTAATTTTAGTAGACACCAGCTCCGAAGTCGTACGCTTAGACCAACGGGCACCTTCTGCCTTATCAAACGACTCTGACCTGCACACTGACCCATCCAAACGCAACAACCCAAAACCAAAGAAGCAGGGTATTTTGTCGAGGTCCAAATCTATCAAAGAGGGGGAAGGCTCGGGATCGCGTACAAAACTGAACAAGGTGCCCCCAGGGCAATTATCACCAGACGTGGCAGGCTCGTGGACGACGAATGGCGACGGTACGCCGCTGAAACCGACAACAATGGACAAGGGTCAGTCATGGCGCCAAATGGGAATGGGCAAGATGCGAACCCACTCGACAGAACGGCAAGAGGCACCCAAACCAATACTACACAACGATGATGCTGGATCAAGAAGAGACAAGTCAGAGCAGTTATCGGTTGCCTCCAACTCCTTCAACGAGACCAAAGGACATGGTTTCATTTTCAAGCTCGGCTCAGGGGCTCGCAACATGGGAGAGAAGATGGACTCTGCACGCAAGGGCGTTTTCGGCAAGCTAGCACGAAGTTCGAGCAACCACGAGACCCAGACGCCCGTAATGAATGAGCCATATGTCTGCAAGATCATACACAAGCCACTAATAGAACAGACGAGACTGACCAGAATATCCACCCGGTTAGAACAGTCACGCGACAAGACTGAATTCTGGATGCCGGCTCTGCCCTGGCGATGTATCGAGTAGGTAATTTCCAGATTGAATGAGCTATGGTCACTAACCAATGCTGCAGTTACTTGAACATGAGAGGTTGTGAAGAGGAAGGCTTATATCGTGTCCCGGGATCTGCCCAACAAGTTCGATATTACGAACGCAAGTTTGATGAGGGTATGTTTCATCATATCTATCACGTTTGCAGTTACTAACAATACTATAGACCGGGATATCGATTTGATCAGCGACCCGAACCTAAACGACCCCAATGTCATTGGTTCCTTGTTCAAGAACTGGCTACGACAATTACCAGACGAAATCTTCCCAAAAGCGATTCAGGCTGCCATCCAACAAGAATGCCAAGGCGCAAAAACAACGCCACAAATGCTCAAGGATGAGCTGTCGAAACTGCCCCCATTCAACTACTACCTTTTGTTCGCAATTACTTGTCACATCAGCCTCCTCCATTCTTGTTCCGAGTTCAACAAAATGAACTACAATAACTTGTGTATCTGTTTCCAGCCGGCAATCAAAATCGACGCCTTTTGTTTCCAGTTTCTAATCTTGGATTGGCGAAATTGCTGGCAGGGCTGCTGGACAGAGAAAGATTTTTTGACAGAGGAAATCAACTTCTTGAACTCTCTCGAGGCCGAGAACCAACAGCAGCAGCAGCAGCAATTACAGCAGCAACAGCAACAACAGCAACAACAACAACAACAACAAACATCCTCGAAAAACGGCCAGAGTAAGAGCAAAGGTGGTAATTCATCAAACCAGAAGCCTTCTACCAAACGGAGTCAATCAACTGACTACATCAAACCCTCTTCTCGCGGAATCTCATCTGACAGAAATGGGCGTGCTACGCCGCCCAATCCTCCACCGGTTTTGTCGGAACCTGCGAGCAACCCTGTACTGCGCATGCGTGGCGGGGGTTACAGTGAGCGTGAGATGTCTCCGGAACGCCTGACTTCGTCTTCAGACAGCCGAGAAGGGGTTCCCCACAAACGAGGTGTTCCAAGAGCACCCCCGTCAGTCAGCACAGAAGCATCTTCGGTTGACTTGGACGAAAATACTACACCAACCCAAGCAAACCATATGCGCGAACACTCAGAATCGACACAATTCCGCCTGGACCTGCGCGATCCACCGGGCTCTCCCTTCAACATCAAGTTCTGATGAAGACATGGGGGAAGGGGGGGGGGGGGGTTCAATTGCAAACAATCATCTCCCTGGGCGCGTATGCATGAGGTGACGAAAAAGAGAGGGTTGGATTTGAGCTGTTGTTTTGCGCATCTTCGTTTCGTCCCGCGTGAGCTGCCACGAGGTCGCGATACCCATCTTTTGATCATTCTGAGCTCGTGGCAGCAGTATTGCTTGGTATCTGTTTAGTAGCCAGCGTTGGAGTTTGGGCTGCATGCATATTCATTAACTGCTTTATTCCTGCATCATGTTGCATATAGGCGTTGGGAGAGGGTTGGGAAGTAGCATTGGAGGGAGCCCACTTGTACCATATGAGGATGCGGTGGCCAGAGGGACATAAACAAGCTTTTCCAGTGGTAGTTTCAGCGTATTCAACAGTTTCTTTGGAGCCAACTCGATTGCGTTGGGACGGACGCCCAGCCCCCGCGCTATTGGATTGTAGCGTTGTCAGGAACGGGGCGGCAGGCTGGGGTTAGAGCTTGGGGCAATGACGTTTCCCGCGTGTTGCGCTTGTGGCCGCTGTGTTCTAGTACGCGACCGCCCACTACCAATCTCACACGTCTCCAGACGTTGTTGCTGTCTCTTTTTCCCCCACACACACCGAGGGCCATTGACAGCCTCAGAAGCTTCTGCGCGTTACGGCCCCTCGACTGTTGAGAGCCTCAGTTGAGCCCGTTGGTGCACTGCATTTCTTCCCCCCGCACAGCACTCGCCCAGTTGTTTTCTCCTCACTACTCCCTCGTTGCAACCCTCCTCGAGTGTCTGTTGCCATTGTTTACTGCCAGCTCAGCTTGACTCTTTGTCACTCGACACCATCATGTCTGTAGCATTGCCACACCACTCCAAGTCTTCGGACCAGAGGGTTGTCTACCTGCTGCCATTGACCGACTACGGCACGCCAGACGTCCCCGGCACGTACATTTACCTGCCTCCACCAACCAATCCTGCATACTCGATATGTTTCCAAATTCAAGGTACCAGCTCAATATGTCGGGAGGGCAGTCTTTGGGTGAACATTCCCGAAAAGGGAAACAAGTTTGAACGCAGCAACTACCGCGAGTACAAGTAAGCTCCTGCTTTCTCCATGGTCTCAACGCCCCTAACACTGGATGCAGACTAGAGCCCAACTTTACGGGCATGTGTGAGATCGAGATTCCTGTATACGAGGCCAATGCCTTCTCCTTCTACACAACCTACACACCACTGCCGGAGTGGTCACTTACGGACGTCACGTCACCAGAACCCACGCGTACAGACACATACTACATTGATATTTGTCCGAGTCTGGAGTTGCATGGTCAGCACTTGCCGGTTGAGGCTGTCTGCATCTTCTCTTGCCTGTCCAAGTTCATGGGGAACTACCCCACAGACTGGGACAACCACCTGCGGGGTATTAGCGAGCGTGGCTACAACATGATCCATTTCACACCGCTGATGATGCGGGGTGATTCAAATTCTCCATACAGCATATACGACCAGCTCACATTCGACGACGCCATCTTCAAGAATGGCGAAAAGGATATTGCGGATCTGGTCCGTAAGATGCACGACAAGTTTAATTTGCTTGCTATGACTGATGTCGTCTGGAACCACACGGCCAACAACAGCAAATGGCTTGAGGAGCACCCTGAATCTGGCTACAACGTTGACACGGCACCTCACCTGCGTCCTGCTCTTGAGCTCGATACAGCCCTGTTGCAGTTTGGCAAAGAGCTCAAAGAGCACGGTCTACCAACCACATTTGAGAGTGAGGCCGACCTCCTGAAGGTCATGCAGGGCGTCAAGGACCATGTCCTCAGCAAGCTTCAGCTCTGGCAATTCTACGTTGTCGATGTTGATCGAGATACCAAGGCCATAATGCAGGCCTGGACATCCGGCAAAGTCAACTTCGTTGACACTAGCTT